CCTTCCCCCTCCCCCCTCCCCCCCAGAGCCCAAACAGCCATTTGGGCTCCACGCTCCCCATGCTGCATGGGGAGTACGGAGCCCAAACGGTTTCTTGCGCTACTTGCTCCCACGTGGCGGCCCAGAAGTCAGCTGTGCACCACAGCAGGAGGCGAAGGGGGGCGGGGCGGTGACATTCATGGCCAGGGGGCAGGGCCTGGAGCCACTGTCACACTGCACATCACTGCCCTGCCCCCCTTCGCCTCCCGCCATGGTGCTTGGCTGACTTCTGCACCGCTCAGCTGGGCCGTCGCAGGGGAGCAAGCGGCCATTTGGGCTCCCCCGCGGCGGCCCGGCTGAGCAGCGCAGAAGTCAGCCGAGCGCCACGGCCGGAGGCGGACACGACTGAGGCAACAGGGCTGCCCAGAGGCAACAGGCAGTATTTCAGCATTACAGAGTCACAAACATTGGGCTACTATATATATGATAATGTCAAGCTGGAAGACTTTGTACTCCAACTCATGGTAACCCTGATTTCACAATGAGTACGGAAAGTTGAAGGAAGAGCAATCTTCCCTCGACTTCCTACTATGTAGACAGTGCCAAAAGCTAAAGTAAGCTATTTTGACTTCAGCTATGCAACTGACAGCTGAAGTTGCATAGCTTAATTCGACTGCAGCACTGTTGTGTAGACATGACCTCAGAGTTAGCTCTTTTTGCTAACTTGGAGTCAGATCATCAAAATAACAGTAGGATAAGAAAATGAGAGCTAGTTGTAGAAGTCTTAAGAACACAATACATTTAGTATTCTGAGGACTGGACTGTTAAATTTAAAAAAAATTATTTATTCTAAGGACAGTCAAACTCAGAGTGCTACAATTGCAACTGTGAAACATTTATGCAAAATTTAGTGTAATAATATGTAAGTGCTATTATGTATACGTGTGTGATTTAGTTTTCACCATGAACCTTAATGTTGCAAAATAAACTTTCATAAGTAAACTATCATCTTCCCAAATCTGTAGACAAGCAGCCCTTAGGTATATCCTTTCATTTCACTGAGGTAGGACACATCTTGTTTTGTTCAAGTCACGACTGCACTGCTGATCACTTAGGCTACGTCTACACTGCAGGCTTTTTGCTCAAGAATAGCTGTTCTTGCACAAAAACTTGCTGTGTGTCTACACTGCATGCACATTCTTGTGCAAGTAAATTTACAGTACGGCGTCAGAAAACAGGGCTTCTTCTGGAAGAGTTATTCCTCTCCCTACAAGGAATAAGCCTCTTGTGCAAGAGTTCTTCCAGAAGAAGGCAGTATGGACAGGCAACATGATTTTCTTGTGCAAGAAACTGCTATGGCTAAAATGGCCATCAGAGCTTTCTTGCACAAGAGAGCGTCCACACTGCCATGGACACTCTTGCACAAAAGCACATCTCGTTCGCAAAAACTTATGGCAGTGTGGACGCACTCCTGTGGAAGACATTTTGCACAAGAACTCTTGCACATAACAGTTCTTGCTCAAGAAGCCTGCAGTGTAGACGTGGCCTTAGAGAAGCACTCAGCTTATCTACTTATCCATTCTTGTAGTGTTTATATATGCATTTCTAGCATGCCAATCTCAATGGCAAATAGTGCATAATATTTTCTCATTTTATCTTTTCATTCCATTCTAGTGGGAACATAGGAGCCTGAAACTTAATCCACTTGTTTGGCAAATTATAAGACTGGAGCACATGAACTAT